AGAGGAACTAACATCTGCTGCTCCACTAAACAAGTAAAATTCTGTAAAAAAAATTCAATATTTTCCATTTTCCATGGCGGAAATTGGAAGCATTACCTCGGCGATGTCAATCCGGTCGTCGTCGTTTTTGTCGAGACTTTGGCGCAGTTCAGCTATCAACTGGGCGATTTCTTCATCAAGCATGTGCTGAAAGGTGTTTTTTTTAACAAAATCAGCTCAAATTTTCTAAGAAAAGAAAGTAGCTTCAAAAAAATGTGCTATTTGACATTTGACAAGGCTGAGAGGTGAATTTGCCTGTTTCAAGTCGTCGGGAACAATTGCATCGAGGAGCTCCGAGAAGAATAGGTGCATTTCATCGCCTTCAATAAATCCGTTTCCTGAAAATAAAATTTTGCAATAATTTTTTTCTTTAGTAGAATTAGATTTTGCTTTCGTGCCTCCTCTATGTCCTTTTGCATTATCATTACCCATTCCGGTCACCTTTTGCATTAAATCTTGAAACTTTTACCGAGGCGATTTGCTCCTTATTTGTGGTATTTCTTAAAAAGGGAGCTAAAAGTTGTGTCAAATGCATTAGTAATGAAGGACTCATAACTCAGGTTACTTGATTTGTGGTTTTATTATGCTATGGATTTAAATATTTAATGAAAGTTATTCCCCACCTTATGAAGTGGTCTCTGATGAGGACTTACGTTTTGTTGACTCTCTTGTCAATGCTTGGGACGCTTTTTATCACCATTTCAGCGCCTTCTAGCTGGAAAAGAGCCGTTTCTCTAACACTCTCACGGCTTTCAAGCCGGTGCGATCAGCAACGGGTTCTGCAACCCAAATTATGGAATCGGTGGGTGGGTGGGTGGGTGGGGGTCAGAGTCTCAACGTGAACTCGCGTGACTCCTTTAATGCCTCAATTCACATGGTCTGTGCACACCAGTGTTTGCACGAAGGGATAAAGCGGTAGGCGGAAAACTAACTTTTGAGGACAATCAAGACCTCTACGGGTGCCACGCGTACTCAGCCAACTATTTTGACAGGACAGGGCAAAAAACAATGTCTCCACATTCCAACTTTGAACGCGTCTGCATTGACAGTCGACGAGCCTCTGAGACAGCCGCTGACATGAATTGTGGTGGTGGAAATGGGGACAGAATTTAATTTCCTCATGAACTACACCTTCAAATGATATGGTTCTGGTAGTTCTAGTTAATTTTTTTACACGAAGTTGTGAGTTGGGAATGCCAAAGTAAATGGAAAAAGGGAACCATTAATGTCAAGGCAAAGTTAAGTTAGAGGTGCATCACATGACTTCTCTGTGCATTCGAACATAAACGCTGCCCTGCAAGGCCTTTCTTGGATTGCAGAAGAGGCTGTAATATCAGAAGCAATGCAGGTGCCCACGGAAAAAAATTAAATGAAATTCCGGTCAGTCAACGTCGACTTCGTTTCGCTGCCTGATGACAGTTGCAATGAGGAGGCAACTTGTCCGAAAGGAGGTCTTACAAGTCCAACTAGTTGATTTGTAACCAATCAACGCGAAGGCACTGGCCGAAAACCAACCACAAATTGGAAACACAATTATTTGTAAAGCAGAGCAAACAAATTGTCCTTTTGCAGCCTTTTTTTTCATTTGGAGCAATGTTTCCACCAATTTAAAATGCTCCCTTAATTGGTGGGGATTTGATTAGGGAAGTTGGGTTGAGTTAATTAAAAAAGGCTAAAACTTTTGCTCTCCATGTTTATCTATGCGAACTGATCGGTCGCCTCCGACTTTGGTCGCTATCTTGATGTCGCAGCTCCCTCTTCGTGCCGTCGGTAAACGCGTCTTTCTACGCAGTCGCACCTCACAGCCCAACACCGTTATAATGCAAAACAAGACGTTCGTCCGCCATCAGCCTCTTTCATTCACAGTGCGCGTAATTGAAAGTTCTTCCCTCGCCTTGTTTGCCTCAACTCTCAGGTCAAAACTGAAAAGACACCTCTTGTCAAAAATCGTATTCAAAGTCACGTAAGTCAAGCCGATGGCTAGTTGGAAAGGATTAAAAGGGCTCAAGCGCAACGCTATCGAGGTAGGAACAACAAAGTCCGAACAAAACGCCTACATTATCACTAATTTACTTAATATTAAGCAAGACTACTTTTCAGAACCTGGCTATTTTTTCCTTAACTTTAAATTAATCGCATGTTTCAAAAAAACACCTTTTTTTGAACACAAAATTCCATTATAAACTGGAATAGTCCAAACAACTTCATGTGGCGAAGCCGCTACCGCTCTGCTAAAGAAGCAAGCCTAAGAGATGTGCTTCGCAGTCACCCCTTCATGTCTTCATGCCCCAAATTTTATGTAGGAAATTCAGTGCACCAAAACAAGTCTTTGTGGCAGTTTACTTAAAAAAAAAGGGATAACCAAGTAGGAGCTTAGCAACTTGTCTCGTTAGGGTTGGGGCGGGTTTTGACGGCGCGCCGACCTAAACACGCAATTAAACTGCTCCTTCATTGTTAGTCTGATGACACGTACCTGTCAAGGTGGTAGACACTTATTGTCGAAAGAGCTGAGGACTAGTGAAATGATGTGAACAGTGTTTTGAAAAATAATTTGTGGAATTGGAACTAATTACTTGAAAGCTAAAAGCTGTGTGTGTGTGTGGGTGCATTGCTTAAGTATGCAAAATGTGAGTTGTACGCGAAAAACTGGGGCAGAGCCCTTTCCAACACATCTATACGTGTCACTAACGATACACTTAATGAGGTAGCTAAGTTGGGGATAAACCAGTGGCTAAATTACCTCCGCTACTTCAAAAGACCAAAGGAGTTAGTTGGGGATAGGAGAGGAAAGTTAAAGTGCAGCCAAATTTGTTGAGAACTCGTCTAAATTTTGGCTCATACTTAATGAGTGGATATGAATGAGAGTGACGAGTAGAGATGGTAAAGGGTCTCGCCTAGAAAACTTCTAGAGAAAAGTAAAGCATTAAAGTGTTGTAGATTACTCGCCCAAAGAGGAACACAAAAGCATTATGGTGAAGGTTAGATTGGAGAAGTATAGTTCTATGCGTACCATCGCGGTCGTAGCGAATCCACACATCGGCGAACTGTTCAGCCGAGACATGGCGAAACTTGAGCTCTTTCTCGTCAAAGTAGTCCTTCAGCAGGTTCCGCTGTTGTGCGTGGGGAGTGCAATCCTTTAGTAGGGGCTCGCTGGCTGCCATGCTGCTGGTGGAGATGCTGCCACACTAACTCGCCCTATTCTTCATTCTCCGCTTTCCAGGTTGGCTTTCCCGCCCGCCTGTCTCGTCCGTTCTCTTCCAAACGCCTGCATGTGAGCACATTCATGCATGCACGCACGCACGCACGCATGCACGCACGCGCGCATGCACGGCAGCCCTTCATTTAGGGTGCGGTTACGCATCTACTGTTGCTCATACGCTTGAATGGCTTAGCTTCTCGTGTGTAGATGGTGTACAAGTTAAAGTTGCATTTCTGAACTTACCAATGACAAGACCTTTGAAACGTCAATTTACTTAGGTTCCCTGCCTCCCTTTTGCGTTGGTTTCGGTCGCTCAGTCGTATAGCGTAGCCCACCCTTTAACTTATTTGACTCACACACGGCAAATGGCGCACTGCTTTGACGTTCAAAATAAGAATATATTTGCTAGGGAACACTTTCATGCATGTTTTATATGCGTGTCAATCGCAACGGCATTTGTCCCACACAAAGATCTTATTTAACTTCGCTTGTGTGAGGAGATCTCAACGTGTTGTCTGCTTTGAATAGTGGAGGTATTTGTTTCATGCAGCCAATCGACTCTACGTGATGGTGGTCTACTGCTTCAAAAAGTTGCATCACTACAGCAGTATGACTTCCATAGGCTCGCCATAGTCAGCCTTTTATTTGGGCTTTAAGAATTGTTTGAGAACTCGTTCCACCACGTGTACGGCAATTTACTGAACACCGTAGTACCGTAAGGAATAGTAAATGGCGCTTATGATTGGTCTGATATTTTAGTACAGAAGCAGATTATGTCTGATGGACCAAAGTGGCAGCATTTACTTTCATCTATCCCTAGCCTTCAGACACTAGCGTCTACAGATCATTTCAAACTCATTTAAATCGAATGAGAGTCCAAAACTAAGAGATTGCTGGAACTGCAGCACTTGTACCCAGGTCTTAAAAATCCCACCCGACCTCCGCTTGACCAAGAAAAGACGTATGCCGTCTTGAACCCTCGTGGAATCAGTTTGGTCTCTTCATAGGCTCCTTGTACGGACTGTGAGAGAATTGCTTGAT